GCTCGGGAGCGGAGCACCCCGAAGGCATCTCTGCTTTGCGGGGAGCCGCACCTGCGAGCGGCGTGGGCAGGAGGCGGCAGCGGAGGGGGACCCTGCCGGGACCCCCAAACCAAGCCTGCCTCGCAGAGTGGGGGAACATCTCCGGGATTGTCCCCAATCACCCGGGAGCTCTGGGTCCAGCCAGGTCCCCATGGCCTGGGCTGTGACCGTGATGGAGGGGTTCATACCGAAATATCTCAGCCTGCGGGTACCAGTACAACAGGTTGCGGGGGTCCTCCTCCTCGGCAGGGGCAGAGCAACCCATAGCTGGCCCCCCCAAAAAAAGCCCAGGAGAGGGTGCCCAGCGCAGCTCAGCCCCGCATGCTGCCAGCTGGCGGGTGCCCGCAGAGGGAGCCCGTACCAGCCTCCCACTCTCACTTGCATTAGCCTAATTTAGCTTAATGGCTTTTCAGAGTGCTGCTGCTCCGGGGGCAGGACCCTGCTCTCTGCAGCACCACTGCAGGGGTCCCAGGGCCCTGGCCCCAGGCCCACGGGAGCCTGGCAGCTTCCCCTGGGCAGGGACAGAGGTGTCTTAGCAGGCAGCAGCCTCTAGGATCACACCACAGCCCGTTGTGCCTGTACAGACATGGACAGACAGACGCACACATCCACCCCTTACCCACACCTTTATCCCCTGGACAGACATGTGCCCATCACCTCACCGTTCGGTCTTGGGCACCCCCCTGGCTCTCAGCATTGCCGTCTAATCCCACAAATAACTCTCTTTCCAGCCCAGATACTTTACACCCCAGGCAGTGTCTGGAGCACCCAGGTGTCCCTGTGTCCCTGATCTCTGTCCCCTCCAGGGACAGGCCCGGGAACATGCACATGGCCCATGGTGACAGCATGGGCACTGTGAGGACCACACGACAGAGGCACCCCGAGGCAGTGCCCACCTCCACAGCTGTGCCCACCCCACATCCCCAGGTGCAGAGAGAACCCCAGGCCCATGGCGGGGGCTGACACCCTCTCCCCCCACCCAGGGTGAGCCCTGCCAACCCTTCCACTGGAGGGGCACCCTCTATGGATCCCTCTTCCACAGCACGGGGTACAGAGCTAACACACCAAAGCCTACCTTTCCTTTCCCGTATCCCCTCCCCGGACAGCAGGACCCACCCAGCACCAGCACTGCAGGGCAGGCAGAGCTGGGCGTGATGCTGGTGGTCCCCCACCCTCTGTACAAGGGGAGGGGAAGCTGGGGACCCCGCAGGGGGTCTGGCAGCTGGCATCAGCCATCACCTTGCACACTGTTCCAGTACGAGATAGGGGTGTCCCAGTGCGGTGGGAGCAGCCAGCAGGACACGGCCCTGGGGGAAACCCCACTGCCATCCGGTGCTGACCTTCCACGAGTGGCTCTCCCACATGTGTCCCAGGCATTGGGACAGGGAGGCGGGGGGTGTGTGTGTGTGTGAGTACGCGCCCACGCGCAGGGGACAAGTAAGAATCTAATCAGGGTCCTTTTCCTTAATAAATCATTCGTCTTAATCCAACGCCCTCCTTCCTGCTCTAATAACTCCCGGCACTGGGCCTCACAGCCACAACAATGCGGCTAATGGAACGATTTATTTTCATAATGGTGCTGGTGGGGAGAAGGGGTGGCCGAGGTGGGGGCAGCACGCTCTGGGGCAGGAGTTTCTAATTAGTGAATGAAATTTGATGTAAGGCTGGAGGAAGATGGATTCGCTGCCTGACAAGGGGCCTTTCAGCTCATCAAAGCGCCCAAACAGGGAGGTAAATTAAATTATTTCTAATTCTTCACTAACCTCCAGGGAGTCACCCTTCCACCAGCAAAAGGTGGGTCCGCTCCTGAAATGAAGAGGCGCTTGAAGGACTGAGGTTGAGTGGAAGGGACTGGGCTCTGTGAAGGGATGGGGATGACAAGATGGGATGGGGTGGCATGGGTCTGCGGAGCGGGACAGGCTGCCACTCACCTTGCTGGAAGAATGGGAAGGGAAAAGGTGGTGATGGAGGGAAGAGTTGCAAATGGTCAATAAATAAACAACTCCAGGGACTAATGACTAATTTGCAGCAGGTTTCCCATCCATGCCTGTCACCTAACCAGACCTGGAGTGGGGCTGAAACACAGCCGGCGCTGGGGTGGAGCAGAGCAGCCTGGCAGGGAGGAAACAGCATCCCAACCCTCCAGGGGTTTGAGCAAGGACAACACTTGGACTGGAAGGGGTGACTGATGCTGAAGCAGGCAAAGAGTCCAGTGCAGGGGAATGCTTCAGCAAAGACCTTCATTCTCACGGCTCTGTACGATTTGAAGTCAATGCCAGTCATGTTAATGCTCGCAGTGTGAAAGCTGTTCTTGGGATGGTTTTCTCTAAATCCCCAGCTCCTGGGGTCCTGTGATGGAGACTCAATTTTTACAGAGAATAAGCGCACTCCCTCCTACCACTCTTCCTTGCAGAGGGGCCTGGCAGTGCCAAGCTGCCACTGACCCAGATGTCCCCAATACCAGAGTGCAAAGAAAAAGGCTTGGTGCTATGGCTGAAACCAGCTCCTGGCTCTGCCTGGAGCAGGGAGCATTACAAGCTGCTCCGAAAGCACCCAAAGCTGCCCCACATCTCCCCTCCCTGCAGGGCCCAGGAAGCCCATTCGGGGACAGCAGACAGGTTCCCGGGGGCCTTCGCATACAAAATCACGGTCTGCATTTCCTGCAAGATCTCCTGCCCACACACCAACCATGCTCAGCACTGCAGAGCAGCTGTGGCCGCAGCACAGCCCAGGGAGGAAAATAGGGGGAATAGGGGAGCTGTGTCTTATTGCAAGGGGCTGGGGAGGCCCGGGGGGGCCAGGGCCCTGCAGCGGTGCCAGGGGCTTGCTGCAGGCTGGGGACTACAGTCCCCTCCCCACGGCTGAGCTAGGTGGAGCTGGGACAGGCGCAGAGCTGGCTGTGCTGACCCAACACTCCAGGAATTTAATTTGTTTAATATATTCCCTGGGAAAGAAGAAAATAAATAAGTGGCACCTTGCGTGCCCCCATGTCTCACTCTCGCAACGGAGGTGTCAGCTTAACGAGCCGAAGCCCTCAGCCTGATTAACCAGCCGCTGCTCCCGCTAATAGGGAGCCGCCGAGCAGCATGATTGATGTACGGAGAGCATTAGCCCCCACAGCCTGGCGCTGGGCTGCTGGGCCAGGGCACCGTGCCCGCCCCAGCCCCCTTGCTCCTGCCCTCTGCACCCAGGCCCAGGTTCAAGGGCAAGTCAAAGCCTCCCTCTTAGAGCCCCAGGGCAGATCATCCTGCCCCACCGCTCTGTGGCGTAGGCATCACTGGGGAGATGGAGCTGGGGCTAGAGCTCCTTCTCTAGAGGCAAGGACATGGTGGTGGCTTCCCACCAGCTGTGGGAATGTGTGGCAGCTCCTCAAAATAGGTGCTGAGGGCCAGGGATGTGCAGAGGTTTTGTGCTTTGCTCTAGGTCTCGAACATGCTCTCCCCTGTGGGCTGGGGTAGGGACACTTGGGGACACTGAGGCACAGGGGTGCTACGGTGACAATCCAGGGGGAGCCCATGAGTCTTGGCAGCTCCTTCAAGGCTTTACTCCACTGAGACCTTACCATTCTCCTAGGAAGAAAACCCAAACGTCCTGACCCACCCCTTGTCCCATCCACCCCTCACTCAGTCCTTCCACAGTCTGGCTTGCCAGTCCCTCCATCTGTCCCCCCCTTACTGAGGTGTCCCTGGGTTTCACTGCAGAGACGTCACCTGCCCCTGTCACCCCTGTCCCACAGCATCGCCACCCCCTGCCCCCACCTTGGGAAAGGGTTAATCAGCAGCCAGGGAGACAGGGTAATAAATGGCCGTTATCTCGTTAATGAGCTGACATTAATTAGAGCCCAAGGTCCCGGGAGGAGCAGCTGATTTATCCGGTCACCCTGGGAGCAGGTTAGGAGCTGACTCCATGGAAAGGCCATTAACAGGGAAGAGGTGAGGCTGCGCTGCTGGGGGTGGGGGGGTGTCACCCTGCACCCATCCCTCCCAGGGAGCAGCTCTGGCCTTGGGACAAGACTGAGTTGGAGCAAAACCAGAAGATTGTGGAGGTGACAGTAAAAAGCGGAGCTGGGGGATCCTCCCACGTGCCCAGCGGTGGGGATGCTGGGGGTGGGAGGGGGAAGGAGAGCCTGGCTGTGCCAGGGGTATGTGGCACTGGGTGCAATGTGTTGGGCAAGGGCTGTGGGAGCGGGGGCACAGGGAAGCAGGAGGGATGCTGTGTGTTCAGTCACTTCCTTCCTTTCCTGAACGATGCTGGGCTGTGGGGGATGCTGGCTGTTGAGCATGTCCCCCCAAAAGCCAAGGCCTGGGGTGAGGACAGACACTGAGGCTGAGCCCGGGTGCTGCCAGAGCTTGTTTTGGAGGCAGCAGGATGGAAGAGATCTCCGCTGCTGTGGGCCCATGGTGTTTCAGGATCTAGGAGGAAAGGGGTCAGGGGCTAACGGGACTGGAAATGTAGCAATCCCACGCTCGGTCCTTGCAAGAAATGGATCTGAGCTGACTGGGTGATCCTGTCTCTCCAAGCCACATGTTTACAACAGGACAAGCTGTCTGGCCCCAAGCCTGAGCACCTCTGTAGTGCATCGCTGCATCCTGGGAAGCCGAGCCCACAGCTAATGCAGGGGAGCCCTAGGGCATCCCCTACAGCCACAGGGCTAGATCCTGCAGGATGCTGGTGCCCCAGCCCTTCGCAGTGGCTGTGTGCTGGGATTGGGTGTGACACTGCAGAGCTGCCCTGGCTGCTTCTGCTGGGGGCAGGCAGCCCCCCGCCCTGCCAAGCCTTCCCGTACTGGCCCCTGCTCCAGGATGGGAGCTGTTAAGGTGTTTCTCTGCTCAGCCTTGCCATCTCCTGTCAGAGATGGGGCTGCTTATTTGAGGAATTGCTTGGCTAAAGAAACAGCTGCTCGGAAATCCCTGCAGGAGGCCTGCCTAGGAGGGACTGAGCCGTGTTTGCTTTGCCTGTTGACCCCTTTGCTTGGGGCAGGCACCTGGGGCTCGGTGCAGAGGGAGGTGTGAAGGCTGGGCAAGGTGGGCAGGGGGAGCTGTGTACCCCACCAAGCCCATGCAGTGGCAGGGGGATGGAGGCATGGGGATTTCTGCTTTCCAGGACAAATCCCTGCCCATCAGACAGAGTAGATGGTGTGCCAGGATGGAGAAGCCCTCGGGAGCCTGTGGCTGGCTTGGAAGTCCCTGGGGTGGGCAGGAGCAGGCAGACCCCCTGGGTGGGGATGCAGGCAGGGACAGGGCATGGCCACGACTGAGCACAGCACCCCTGGAAGCAGACAGGGAGGTGGCTTCAGCAACTTGCCTGGCACTTGCCTCCTGTCATCACCAGAGGAGGGGGAGATACCTAAAGACAGATGAGCAGCCCTGCGAGTGGCTCTGTGGGGCTCTGTGGATGGCTGCTCTGCTCCCACGACAGCAGCACGGACACATCTGCCAGTGTTTCTGCAGAGGGGACAGCCACCAAGCAGCCTGGGACACTGGGGCTGGCTGTGCCAGGTCTGATGTAGGCTGGGCTCAGCTCCCACCCCTGCAGGGCTGATTAAGACCCATTATCTGGTTGGTTAACAGGGCCCAGGCCACTCACAGGTGACTTCAACTGTTCATTTAGTCACAAATCACCATGGGGCTGGCAGTTTATTTACCTTCCCCACCAGCCTCCTGTGGCTTCCCAGACTCCAGAGATAGTGGGTGGCCCTGCTGCAAGGGGCAGGGGAAGGGCAGCATCCCACTGCGGGAAGCAGTGAGGGCTCCCACAAAACCTGGGACACCCCAAACTGGAGCAGACCAGGGGCTCAGCCTGCTCTGGGCTGGAGGCTGCAGACACAGATGAGAGTGGACACTTCTACAGCCCCTCTTTTGGGGGAATGGCTGGGAAATAACCTGTGAGCAGGCTTACATCCTGTGTCTCCAGCATTGGTAACGCTTCTGGGCTGTATTTCTCCACTAGCTGGCTTGGGACGGAGTGCTGCAAGATGACCTGAGGCACCAGGGCCAGAGCAGCAAGATCTGCTGCTTCCTGAGAGATGCTTTAAACAAGGTTGTTGTACTGTAGGCCTCTTACAGGGAACTAATTTCTAAAGATGGAAAGGTCTAGGGGCTGTGACCTGCACAGTAGTTAATGCTTGGCAAGTGGGTACAGCCATCCTGGGGACAAGGAACGCTTTCAAGGCTTAAAAGCTATAGCCTGGGCAGAAGTCAGGGTGCCTGCCACCTCTCTGGGACCAGTTCCTGCACTGGTCCATGTCTCAAGGGTAACTTCTATTGACTGAAGACAGGAGGTGACCTGGTGCTAAACTGTGCATCTAGGAAGAGCCAACATGACAGGTTAGGTGGAAATCAAGGCACAGCCCCAGCATGGGTCATGCCTTCATCTGATGCCTGGGATAAGGACTCCATCCTGGGAAAATGAAAGTCTGGTCCCAGTCAGTAATTTTTTTTTTTTTTTTATCAGAGTATGGATTTTCCTCGGCACCCTTGACTTTGATCTTGGGGCAGTTGGGTTTGCTGAGGGATGTTATGTTGCTTCCCAAGGTGACGCTGAGGAAGTGGCAGGGCTATAAAACTGAACTGTGCTCCCAAATACTACCTGTGACCCCCATGGCTCGTTTCTGAGAGCTCAGGCACTGCTGGTGACAGTTTGGGGAACTATGTGAACTGCTGTAGGTAGTGTTGTCGGTCTCTACAGATGCCAAAAACTTGTGCGTGCCAGAGTTGGGTGTCTTTGGTGGCCATGTGGATGTTTGCTCTTCTAGTTTTACTCCTGCTGCTTGACCTCGCATGGATGGAAGTCTCATGGAGACAATCCATTTGAGGCACTGGACATAGCAAAGGGAGCCCCATTTGTCTAGCTGAGCACCTTGGCATCAGCAATAAATGGCTTTGCAGGGCTTATGTACACCTGCATAGAGGCTGTTGTAATGTCTGCTTTTAGGTGGCTGGAGAAAGACTGGGCTCTGAATGTCCAGCTGAGGCACATCCAGAAAATCCCCCAAAAATGCCTGGGCAAATGAAAGAGTAGCAGGAATCCCTGGGATGTGTAAATGCTCCTGGTGCTACCCATTGCCCAGCAAGAGATGTTGTGATCCAGGCTGTTGCAGAGAGGTGAGGGAGCTGAGGAACCTCATTGCTGCCTGGGCAGCAGGGACTTCCCACTGGAGGAGTGCTTGCTGGATGGGATTAGACTAAGTGGTTAAGCGTGAAGGCACCTTTAGGGCAGTCAACATGAGGTGCATCAGGCAGGGGACAAGTGGAGATGTTGATGGGGTGGGTTTGAGCCAGCAAGGGATGTGGAGGTGGCAGAAGCACCCTGGCTGGTTCAGGGCTTTGAGCTTGTCCATCTAGCTCTGTATGGGGCTCAGAAGATCTGTCCTGGATGTGCTCAGGATCTTCCACAGCAGCAAGGTGGTGTTTGCTGGCCTGTTTCACAGAGCTGGTCATCTTGGGAGGGGTCTGCTACCACTGGGTGAGCAAAGGCGGCCCTGGGGTAACAGCACAGGGTGAGCTGTGGAGGGAATGGGAGCAATAAGGTGCTGGCTGAGAACATCCCCCCCTTAAACTCCACTTCCTCATGAACTGGGGTGGTTTTCTGGGGCAGCTCCTGTTCACAGTGCCCTGCACCCCTGGGCTGTGGGAATGAGCTCTCTGGCTGATAACCTTGGGGTGTGCTACCTGTGGCTGATGTTTGGGGTTGCCTTGGATCCTCTATGGAGACCTTCCTGTGGAGGAAGGAAGCTGGACAAAGGTAAGGGGCCAGGGCACAGTTGCGTTCACTTATTACAATCCTCTGATCTAGTTAGCAACCAGGTGAGCTGTCACCAGAGGACCTGATGGATGGGGTAGAGAGTTCCCTCCTTCCTGAGGCGGGAAATGAAGCTAATCAGACCTCGGACACCTTAATCCAGCTCTGATCTGATTAATGACCCTGAAGACTGTGAACTCATCAGCACCCTGGCATCTATCACTGCCTGCATACCGCCCCTTCTGCCAGCCACCACCCAGCATGGCTCTCCTGTGCACAGCCCTGGGCTCCAGCCCCCTGCCCGACATGGTGTGGGCTGCATGCTGCTGCTCCAGCCCTGGAAAACCCTCTTGCAGGTCCCAGTACCTGGGTTTGACTTACCTGGGGGAGGTAACTCCCTCCATGATTTTCCTAGATTTCTTTATTAGGATGTTTCCACCCAGGTTTTATGGCTGGTGTCTGCAAAGATTTCTTGCTTGTGCAAATCATATGCTGCAGCTTGGCTGCTTGTACTCACATTGCCCTGGAATTGGTGAACTGGGCACCAGCCTGGGCTGCTGATCCTTGGAGGAGTTGCTTGTCTTTGGAGAGCCTCCTTGGGTAGCGCAGGGATCTTCCATGAGGACAGTAAGGCTGTGACTCAGTGCTGTGACCTTGACCCCCAAATAAGCCTCACTCAAGCCCCATTCCCACTGCCCAAGTTACGGTGGGTACAGCCACAAAGGGTCTCAGGGCTTGACAGGGGTTACCCAGGCTCTCCTGGGTTGGCTGTGTGCCTGTTTGCCCACCCCATGATGGTCACTGAGGGTCCTTTTGCTTGGCAGGAACATTGGCTTCTGTCCTGGGAAAACAGAAGGGAATAGATTTGGAGGGGAGGCGAAGAGCCCTATGGCCTCCTTGGTGGTGGAGAGAGGGTATAGCAGCAGGCACAGGGGTGCTGGGGGTGGAAAGGGACACTGTTCCACCTCCAGTACCCCCTGTCCAAGTAGGGTGTGTTACTGTGGGGTGATGTCCACTCCAAATCCCCTTCTGAGCAAATCCAGCTCTGGGCTGTCCACGGGGCTGATTCTTGCCCTCCTGCCTCTGAGGGAGGTGGCTGGAACAGGCTGTTGGGCATCTATTCCCACACAAGGATTTGGGGCCATCCAGTGAAGCTCGTGGGTGCCAGGCTCAGGCAATGGAAGGAGGAAGTTGTCCCACACGTGGACTGCAGCTCCCTGCAGTGGGGTGACGTGTGTGCAGGGAGCTCAGCAGGCTCCAGACTGGACTGGATGGGCATGGGGAGGAGAAGACCCTGGGGTCACTGAGCAGAAGAAGCACAGGAGGCTGAGGAAGGCCCCATATGCCCCTGCCTTTCTCCTCCCTGGGCATCTGCTTCAAGCTTCTGTGGGACACAGCTATACAGGGGGTGGCCCCATCTCTTGCTCGGGAAATACAACAGTGCTGGAAATGCTGAAGGGTGAAGAAATACAGGGATAGGAGCTCCCTTTAGCCATTATAATATTTAGGCAGGGCAATAAAAGCTGCCTCACTTGCCTTCCAAAGAGCGGGACCCATCACCAGATACAAACAAGCAGAAGCTTGTCTCACTGTGTCAGCATGACACAAAAAGGTGGGACCCAGAGGCAGGCAGATGGACAGACACAGACCCTCTGTGCCAGAGACCACAGATGTGCTCGCACGCATTCTGCCTCTCCCCAAAGGCTGGTGCCAGGGGGTCTGGGCTACCTCTGCTCCTGCTCACCCACGTCTCTCAGACCAGCCAAGGCTTTCCTCTCTGCCCTTCCTTGGTGCCACTCTCCAAGTGGAAGTCTTGTCTGGGAAAGATAAGACCAGGCAAATGGGTAACAGTCTGCCTGTAGGCACCCGCTCTGTTGGCATCTTGGACAGAGATGGGTGATGGAGGGGGGTGGCCCCTGTCCGTGTCCAGCTCGGGTTCGCTGATCTCCCTGCCCCGAGCGGTGCAATGGCGCAGCCGGGTATTCCTGGTGGTTGCCTGGTGCGCGGGGTGTGGAGGAGCCTGCCGGTGAGCGAGCGCCTCTCCTGCCCTCCCAGTCAGGCATTCTGCCCCCGCCCAGTGCCTGGGGGCTCTGCAGACCCAGGGCAGCCCTGGAGCCCACCAGGGCTTCTCCCACATGTGCCGAAGTCTGCCTAGTCTCTCCGGATTTCCAGCTGCTGTGACCGCAGGCATGCTTCCCCACCGAGGGGCTCTAAGGAAAACGGGATTGGCTCTGGATCAGGACGATGGGCTCCTTGCCCTGGGCGGCGGGTCCTGCGGGCTGGGGGGACCCCCCGGGTGTGGACCAGGGCTGGGCTGGGTTGCGAGGCTGGGGAAGGGGCAGAGCGGTCCGGGCCAGGCCCCGGAGCGTC